CTCCTCCAGTCAGTTTCCGCCCTGGCTTCAAAAACAAAAAGAAAAAAGAACCACCTGGAAGCTTTGAAAATGTGCCTGCTTCTGCAAGGGCAATTCTGATTATTTGGTAAGTCTAATGTGTAGCCAGACTTGGAAACCTGGCCTAACCTGGCCTAACCTATTAAGATGAAAGGGCGGTCCGAAGATTAAAGCAGCCTGCAGCTAGCAGGAGATGACGTACACACTTATCCCAACACCCTGTTAACGAAACTCGTAATTTAAATGCTACCTTTCTACCAATGAACTAGAGTTTTAGGTTTCGATATATGTAGTTTGTAAATATTTCAAATACTTCCCCAGCAGAAGTATTAGTTTTCGATGCTAGAGTCCCTTTTTCCTAAATCCAGGGACCACCATGCAACATGGACATCGGACCAGACACTCCACGAAGGCAAAGGACTTGTCAGTCCCTCCCTGACCAGAGAGGTGAGGCGCACCTCAATAAGAACTTGCTCAACGGATAACTGTAGGATTTTCAAAGTTCTACTCTGTGTAAATTAGGACTAAAGTTCCATGAAAGCTCAAAAATCAATGCCAAACAGAGAAATGTCAGTGACTAGGACCGATTCAGAGGAAACACACACTGAGGTCTCAGCTATCTAAGGGGAGGTTCACTGAGGTCACTGTTGACAATAAGTGAGGGCACAGCAAACCGGTCACAAGGGCCCATCTCGAACCGGTGATGAGAGTATCAAAGAGCTGCCTGTTCCTTTTACGCCGTTGAGGGGAAAGCTTCAGTTAGTTTAATACTGTATTGTCTCCCAGAAATGTTCTGGTAGAGAAGATCTTAAATGTTCTACACACACACGACTATGACAGGTGACGGGTGTGTTAACTAACCTTAATGTGGTGACCACTTTACAATGTATACACATATCAGATCACCATGGTGATCTTAAGCTTACACAAGGTTATTGCCAAGTATAGCTTAATAAGGCCCTTAAAGTACATTAAAACAAACCAACATACAAAAATTTGCTCCTTTCGGTAATGCACCCTGAGCTTAAGCCAGACCCTCTCTGTTCAGAACTCTGTGTGACGTCGGAGTAAATGCTGATTGGACTGAAGTACATTTTCAAATCCGGAGATACATAGGCAGTCCCTCCTGATATCTGCCTAAGTCTTCTGCTGTGATTAAAATCAGGAGAAATCGAATGCTGTGGACCCATTAGAAGACTGTTTTGATTGTCACAAATTGTAGTGCCTGAAAACATCCTTAAGCTGATTGTCTTAAAAAAAATGAAAGTTCTCTCAAAACAAAACAGGAACAAATAATTATGGTCCAAATGTCTGTGGTTCCTTGGAAATGCTGTGCTTTTTCTATTTTCCATCATTGTAGTACTACTGAAGGAATGTGTGGAGGTCAGAGGTTATGTTTGCATCTTAAAATTAGGTAGTGACCTCGTCTTTCAACCTTGAATTCATTTTTAATTTTAACTTTATCTTATACAATGTGTAGACAGTTCCCTGTTCTCTCGAATTTAGAAGTATAAACAATATAAATCTGTTAATTCCGTAATTTTTATAATTATGATGTCACCCAACCTTATCCTTCAAACCCTTTATGTGCAAAAAAACAAAAACAAAAACAAAAAACATGAAAAATCAAGAATATTTTCAGAAAACTCACCACCAGAGACTGGAGGAAACAGAAAAGCAGAGTCATGTCAAATTTGTAAATTAAAAAGATTTTAAACTACCATAATTACTGGATCACAAAGTCCTTCCCTAGCAGAGAACACACTGAGACCGTTGTCTTACTGCCTATGGGTGCTCTCAGAGTGGGATATTTTCTAGTGACATCACCACTAATATTTTAGTGCTTGATGGTGGCACAGTTCCATCAATGAATCTGACTCATGTTGATTCATTTTTCTATTTGCTGGATTTTAAAAGGTATCATATTTCCCACTCAATGTGCATCAGCAATAATGTTGCCCTCTAAAACCTGTATTATCAAACCAAGCCTTCCAAAATTTTTATCAAATATAGGATAAATCCATCGATTACTAATTACTAAATGCCCACCATGGGCCCAACCTCCAGCACATTGCTGTGCTGTGGAGGATATAAAAAAAAGAAAAAAGGTTTTTCCTTTGATGAATTAATAAACCATAACGAGGCATTACACAATAGGCTCCTTGGCCTCTGAGATGACACTTTAGCATCTACTCTGTCCCATTTTTCACTCCTATTTGTCGCCTCCTCCACTTTGCTTCTAAATGTTGGAGTTCCCTGTGGCTCAGACCTGTGCTTTCCGTTCTCACTTCATTTTCACCCTGTCTGTGATCTCACTTATCTTTGTGGTTTCGATTCTCTGTGCAAGCCACTGACTTCCAATTTCTTATCTCCTCTGATCTAGGACCCAAGACAGCACTGCATTGCCTTGTGGAGGTCTTAAAAAAGGCCTCCAATTCAAAATGTCGCCAACTAAACGACTTTCTCCCAACCTGTACCTGGCCACTCTCCAGTATTCCACATTCACTTTAACCCAATACCTGGGAGTTACCCGTGGTACCCCTCACCCAGTCATGTCCAAGTCAGCACTAAGTCCAATCAACTTTACTTCATAAATAAATGGTAAATCTATTACCATACATAATAGTAAATCCATTCATTTCTCTCCATCACCACTACCCCAGTCCAAGTGACCAACATCTCTGGCTCACAACAGACTCATAATCCATCTCCCTGAATAACTCTCCCCCTACCCCCCTCCTCCATCCAGTTTTCAGAATAGAGCCAGGTGAGCTGCTTAAAATGCAGACCTGACTATGTCACCCCCTTGCTTTAAAACTTTCAAGGTTTTCTATTGCTCTTACGATAAAGACTGTAACTCAGGCTGCAACACTGTGTAAGATATAGCCTCTGCCTGCTTCTCTGGACTCTTCTCAGATAATGGCCCTCCTCACTCTCTGAACTCTGACCACTGCTTGTTCTCAGCTCTCAAAAGCACTGGGGACCTTCTGGCTCCCCTGCCCTCTGCCCAGATTGCTCTTCCTTCTCCCTCCCACTTTACTTCTGAAGCCCTTATATATCTCTTTTGGAAAGCCTTCCCTCACCACCAAGCTCCAACCTGGATGAGGCCCCCTTATAACTTTATTTCACAACAGTTCTTAATTATACTTGGTTAATGTCTTTCTCCATCCTGGACCACAAACTCCCATAAGGCAGAAACTAGTTCTAAATCGCTTATCATAGTAACCCAGCAACTAGACCAGGGGTGGGCAAACTTTTTGACTCGAGGGCCACAATGGGTTCTTAAACTGGACCGGAGGGCCGGAACAAAAGCATGGATGGAGTGTTTGTGTGAACTAATATAAATTCAAAGTAAACATCATTACATAAAAGGGTACGGTCTTTTTTTTTTTTTAGTTATATTCATTTCAAACGGGCCGGATACGGCCCGCGGGCTGTAGTTTGCCCACGGCTGAACTAGACCATTGCTCTGCTGGGCAAAATGTCAATTGAATTAATAAGTGAGTGAGTGAGTTGAGTGAGTGAATGAATGAATCATGGTAATGATGGATCTTTATACTCCGGCTATCAATACTCATCTTTATCCTCCCCGACAGCACAAACCATGAATCAAGATCAAGAGACACTAAGAAGCCCAGTTCAATATGAAAGGTAGTTTTGAGAACTCAGGGTACAAGCTGCATGGAGGGGAAAACACTGAAAAGGAGAACTGGGAGGGTCTGATCTGGGTTCTTCGATTTGAGCAGGGAAAACAGCATCTCTACATATATTTACTCTGAATACCACGCAAGAACTAGCCATATCTGTTTCATAAGTGAATCCCTTAACTCATGTAAATCCCTTTGTAAATACATAAGAAAAAAATCACTTTCACATGTTTTTTTTTTTTTTTTTTTACAAAGGCAAGTCACCTAGGATCTTCCATAAGGACTTAAAGTGACCCCAATTCAGTACCTCAATATGTCCTTTACATTTATACTTTAAATATCTCTCCAGCTTTCAGAGTCCATCCTTAAATTAAGATTATGGCGCTATATCCCAAAATCTTCTACAAAGTCTTGGGCTTAAGCTTAAAAGATATGAATCAAAGTCTAAGTCACTTATTAAACTGCAAGTGGCCATAAAGTGGAGTTAATGCCTTTTGTCGGGCAGAGCAAACCAAGAAATGGCTTGACCTGCGAGCTCTCAGGACCCCCTGCAAAAGCTGAGTAAAATTGCTAGGGAAGTACATCTAAATCATGTAAAGTACAAGCTCCCAATCGTTTAAGATCGTGAGCGATAACCTACTAAACAGAATACTTCCTGAGTTTCCCCTCGAGGATTTTTTTTAAAAGTTCAAAATGCTATCTTCAGCAACGTGGTTATTATTCATATCCTTCCTTTGTAAATCATGGATTTTTAAAGCCGTTGTACTTTGAATTACAAAGTCTCAAACCCCAGAGAAGTCTTTATACTGTTATGTTAATGGGGCATTAATATTTACTGCTTACATTCAGCAGCATGTTTTTCTCTGGAAATTTTTTCCTTGCTGTATGAATATTTCAAAATCTATAATAATAAAAGCATAATATGCATATCGACCGAATGGCCAAACAGCGGAACAACCATCTGGACGACCGTGCTATGACACCCACTGGCACCAGGCCAGCCAAGGTGGGTGTGATGCGATTGGTCGGGGGGCTCCACCATCGCCCCATGATCACCCCAAAGAGGGAGGCCCAAGTCACCAACCAGCGGGCTGTGGTGGGTGGGCGGGGCCTCCCTCTGTGGGGCAATCAATCGCAGGGCTCCCAGACTTCAAGAGGGCACAGTCCGAGCTGAGGGACCACGGCCCCCACACACACTGAATGCATGAATTTCATGCACCAGGCCTCTATTTGAGATATAATAACATTAAAACAATTTTCTTTTTAAAAAATGATCAAGGTATTAGGCTACCTTAGTCATCTTCTGCTGCATAACAAATTAACCCCAAACGTAAGTTTAAAACAATAAACATTTATTGTCTTCCAGTGTAAGTGCAGGGGTGGGAGGAGGCTTAGCTGGGTGTCTGTGGCTCAGGGTTTTTCATGAGCTTGCAGACAAGCTTTGGTGGGAGGGGCTGTAGTCATTCTGATGTTGGACTGCGGAAGGCTCTACCTCCAAGGTCACTGTTATGGTGGCTGTCAACAGGCTTCAGTTTTACAGTGGCTGTGGACTGGGGGCCTGAGTTCTTCCTACCACACGGAGGTGGGACTCCCTCATTTCCTTTCCGCATGGGCCTCTTCAAAGTGCCGCTCAATACATGGCAGTTGGTTTTCTCTAGAGTGAAGGATCCAAAAGACAGCAACCCAGAGAGAGGCCACAGTGCCTTTGAGTGACCTAGTCTCCGAAGTTGCACATCTTCGCTTCTGCTTTCCTCTGTTCATTAGCAATGAGTCACTAAGTCCAGCCCACTCCAGGGGAGGGAATTTGGATTTAACCTCTCGAAGGAAGGAATACCAAAGAATTTGTGGACATATTTTTAAAAGCACCCCATGGGCAGTAGTGAGAAGCAGGAGAGATGGACACATTTGGAATTAGGAAGATAAGTGTCTTATTTATTTGTTTTTAATATGTTTTCATTGTATTTTAGAGGGAAAGAGAGTGATAGATAGAAACATCGATGAGAGATAAACATCATAGGTTGGCTGCCTCCTGCATGCCCTTTACAGGGGATCGAGCCCACAACCCGGGCATCTGCCCTCCTGGTTCATGGGTTGATGCCCAACCACTGAGCAATCCTGGCCAGGCAGAATATCTGTGTTTTAATCTGGACTGTGTTACTTACCTACTGAGGGGCTTTTTACAATTATTTAACCTCCTCATGTCATAGTTTCGCCAAATGTACAATGAGGTAAATCCCAGGAATCTTGTGTGGGATTTAATAATATAGCATGAAAAAGAGCTTGGTATAGCCCCTAGTCGTAATAAGCACTCCCTAAACGTTGTCCACATAACAGTAATTAGTGAAGCAGCCTACTTATTGAGAGCCGGCTAAGTAGATAATACACAGTCCTTCGGAGTTCACATCGAGCAGTTAGGAAAGTAAATCCGAACTTGGACACAGAACGTGCTTTTCCCTCTAGAAATCTGAGGGCTTCCTGAAGAGAGGCGGTCAGAAAGTAGTCTCTGGGACATAAGGAAATAGATAGCAGGTTTAAGCGTCTTCGTTGGTTGCTTTTTTAAGAGTGGCTGTTCCCTCAACGTAACTCTCTCAGAAGCAGAGCCTTTTGCAGGAGTGGAGGAGGCAGTGCCGTCAGCTGGGCCTCTCCTCTGGACACCCCAGGGCCCGAGGGGTCTTGCTGGAGCACAGTTTACAAATCTGCACTAACAGATTGTGCCTGTAATCCCAAGTACAAAGGGTCAAAGGCCGTGCTTTAAAACCATGTCAACTTAATATAGCCATTTAAGTAAACAGTGTCATACATATGTTCTACAAGGAAATCTTGTTTCTCCTTTTAAAAACATGCAATGCTCTAAACGTTAGAGTCTGAAGGGAATACCTTTCAGTCAATCCAGCTTGTTTCTTCTAAGGAAAAAATAAAAGATCATTTTTACATGATTGTCCTTTTGTATCTCCGTAGATCTCATTCTGAGCCAATAATGTGTGTTTCACATAGATTGCGTTATTAGATACTAACTCTAGGCTCCCCACAACTTGTAATCAAAGCAAAGATAAACAAGAGGCCTTAAAGCCTAGTCTTTTCTCAATTTAGAATTAGAGGTTAGAGGAATTTCAGCGCTGGTCAGCCTGCATATCCATGCTGCTTATCATCCCAGAGTCAAAGCTCAAATGACTGAGAAGAATTTCTCCTTTCGAGTTTAGTTCCCCGAGTGCCAAGGCGACCAAGGGTAATTTTCCTGTGGGCTATTGCAAGTATAAAGATTAGTCAAAGATTTCATTAAATATTCCATAGCCCTCGTGTGGCATTTAAAAAACAAAGCCCACCAAAAAACGGTAACTATGGAAAGACTGAAAAATGGGGGCCAACAATCCAAACTCAAGCACATTATAAAATACATGAATTCTTATACAACATCAATGTCCTGCTCTTTAGAGCTGCTTGCTTCCAAGCCTGTTATTAGCCTTGTGTCAAAACTTTATTCTTGGCAGATGGGCGACTTTCTGAAGAGCTTTGGGGTCCGTGTCTTTGGATACCAAGATAGCAGGTGTGACCAATGTGAGGTAGGCTTTGAAAACAATCCACAGATTCAAGGTTAACTTCATCAGCTCACTGAAATATACCAGGCGCCCACGTCTGTTGCGGTTTGATAATACAGACTTGTCAGCCACATAGCACCAAGGATAGGGGCTGGGCAAGCGGAGAAGAGCAGGAGTAACTGACTAGTGTTAAGAGTAGAGGCTCCAAAGTTGTCAGAAACCAAGTTGTAACCTCTGCTGTGTCATTTACCACCTATGACTCCCTGGGCAAGTGCCTAAATTCCCCGAGTCTCACTCCATCCTTCTGAGGTCCCCGCGGCCATGTGACTCACAGCAGGACTAACTGTGACCTGCACAGACAATGCCAGGCACATCGAAGGCACTGGGCTGTGTCTGACTTAGTGGTCCTGCTTCACGTTTGATGTTTAGGACACATGTTCAAAATCCAAGTTCTTCTAAGTCATCACACTGTTATGAGTAGTTCTTAGCTAACTGATGGAGGCTCAGCTACACGTAAGTCTACTGAATAAGTTTTGTTCTTACTGTTTTTTTCTTTGAGAACATACACTGTGTCCAACGTGATGCTGGATGTCAATATCACTGTCTTTTCATAGAACTTACTATCTAGTGACAAAGACTAGTTAATTGAACATAGGAGAAGGTCCAAATAAAAGTGTATGCATAATGGTTAAAAACTGTAAAATTAAATGCAATGTGATATTCTGGATTGAATCCTGGGACAGAAAAAAAGGCATTAGTGGAAACACAGAAACTCTGACTAAAATCTGGAATTTCATTTATAGTGTACTAATGTTGGTTTCTTCGTTTGGACAAGTACACCATGGTGAGGGATGTTAACGTTAGGGGGAAGCTCGTCAAGGAACTCTACATCTTTGTAACTTTTCTGTAAGTATGAAATGAGTCCAGTGCAAGTAGCCTGTCCCTTCCCCCAACCATATCCCCTCCCCCTACAACCTCACCCTGACTAATTTCTAACCGCCAGCACCCGCGTCGCTTTGGCTGAAGGCTCCCTTTAGCATCCCGAGACTGCTTTGCTCTGCCCAGCATTAGTGCCCAACAACTACTGACTGAGGAAAGTTGGTGGGTAAATATTCAAACTCTTTCAACCTTGGGTGAGAGGACTCCAAGCTGTGTGTTTTGCCTGCGCTCCCAAACTCTCTTCAAAAAGATCACTGATCTTTTCTTAAGGGCTGTAACTTGCTTGACAATGCTCACGTGAGCGGCTCCTTGCCCTGCCTCATTTCACTTTCCCAAATGAAATTTTACCTGAACCCTTATGTCGTGGTCTGCTTCTGGGAGAAATCCAGACCAAGACATCACTCCTGACTATATTTGCTGATGGAGAGAAGGGCCTCCTGAATGTGTCAGTTCACGGTCATTGGCTGGGGGAGATGATGGGTGCCCTGGATTACTTTTCGGTTCCTGGAAAGAGCTCCTCACTCCATACTGTGAAGAAATTGCACCAAATTATAAATACACTGGGAACTCGAAAGCCACACATTTTGGGATGTGTGGAAGGAAAGCAAATGTTTGGAAAAATGCTAACAGAAATTTCCATTCTCAAATGCATGCGCGCATTCATTCAACCAGAACCTACTAAGGATTTTCTATAGGATATAAAGTGAACAAAACAGAAAAGATCCTGTAAGCTTTTAGGAAGCTTACATTTCTGTCAGTGGACATGGACACACACACAAAGAAACAACAACCCAGGAAAACAAATTAATAAACAAGATAATATTAGACAGTGATAAGTGCTGTGAAGAAAAGAAAACAAGCTCATATGATAGCATGACCTAGATGGGGGAAGGTTACTCTAATAGGGACCAAAACATGTGTAGGCTTTGGTGTGCACTCCTCTGGGTACTCAGTTCTTATGTCACGTCGTCATAGGCTGCCCTTTACCAAGAAAGGCCTTTTACCACAACCCCCATCACCCCAACAGGCCAACATTCGATTGTCCCTTAACTTACCCAAAGTCCCACCATGTCTACGGAGGGTCTCCCAACACTGGCAAATAGAAATCTCTCTTACAAATATGTGTACCCAGGAATGGCTTTTGTATTGATTCTTAAATCCAAACTTCGTAAGGCACCAATAAACAACCTGTCACGGCTGTTGTGTGGCAGTGGTCTAGGCAGCCTGGCGGAGACCTCACAAGCAACTCATCTCCGGACAGCAGCCCCCTTCTGAAGAAGCGAAATTTCAACAGTTCCAGTGAAACGGAGGGTCCTTAGGACTTTGGTTAAATGTAGCTTAAGTCCTAGCTCTAGAAATCCTCTCTCTCTTTCTCTCTCTCTCCCTCTCTCTCTCTCTCTCTCTTCCTCTCTCTCTCTCTGTGTATGTGTAGGTCCCTCAAGACCTAGCCTTTGCCCCAATAATCAGCAACCCCTCAGGCAGCAGAACAGCCCAGACCTGACTGCTGGTCACAGGTCCAGACCTCTGCAGGCGAAAGATCACATCTTGACCGAAGTTATTTCAGGAGAAATGACTCCCTGGCTACTTTCCCACAGGGGTGTTGGAACAGAGGTCAGAACTGTCCTCAAGACCTGAGGAAAAGATTCATGATCCTTACCTCACCTCTGACTAGTAAGCTCCCTGTAGGACCCAGAACCCCTAACCCACGTGTCCTGTGACTTTGCCCTAATCTGTAACCTACATGCCATCGGGCTCCCTGCCTCTGGGTTGGCCTATTCAATAGTAAGCTGTTTCTCTCTCCATCCTGCAAACTCCTGCTCAGGCATTTCTTTGGGCCAGTGCACAAGCAGGCGGGCTCTGATATTGGGGTCCTCGTAACTCAAACAAAAGAAGCAGTTGGGGACTCACTGAGGCCGTAACTTTGGTTTACTGGGAAAGAAGGAGGGGAGGAAGTAGCAGGTGGTATCAAGCGGATCTTCTATGAGTGAAGGTTTCAAGTGTCCTCTCTCAGAGCCCCTCAAAAAGGTGCTGCAGAGTCATCTCCTGCTGCGTGCCCCACCTGCCAGGCTGCCAGGCTGCCAGGCATGGTTTGGCTCATTGAAACGGCAACAGCCTTGTGAAGTAAGAATCACCACCCCCATTGGGCAGATAAAGCTCCAAGAGTTGAAGTGATTTGCTGAGATCATGAAGGTGGTAAATGGCAAAGCCAGATTCAGATCCCATCAGACAAGCAAGATATGCGATTCCAAAGCCTGCTCCATGCCCTTTCGAGAATGTCAACCTACCCCCAGGCTTTCACAGTGGTTGGTGCCTCAGAGGGCATGGGCCAGCCCTAATCCACAGGCAAACAGAATTCCTGGACAAGTGACACTTATCTCAATTCACAATGTACCCACTCAGCTAGTTAACACAGATGAACGACGAGATAAGCAGCATCCTTTTCCATGGTCCCAGTCAATGCTGACGGGTGGGAATGTGATGTGAAGAAAGAACCTTGGGCCCAGCTGGTGTGGCTCAGTGGTTGAATGTCGACCTATGAACGAGAAGGTCCAGGTTCAATTCCCACACATGCCAGGTTTGCAGGCTCGATCCCCAGTGTGGGGGGTGTAGGAGGCAGCCAATCAATGATTTTCTCTCATCATTGATGTTTCTATCTCTCTCTCCTTCTCCTTTCCTCTCTGAAATAAATAAAAACATATATTTTTTAAAAAGAATACCTTATAAGGTAGGCCCTACCTGTTTGTAACATGCAGCTTCAATTTGCTTGTCTTCAGAACATTCTACATCTGGTTTTAGGGGGCTGGTAATCCTTGAGGGAGAGAAATTAAGTAGCTATTTCTATTGCATGTAGAAGTCAATGGACCATGGCAGTATTACTTCCCATAGGTTTATAAAAAGTTCAGGCACAAAGAAATGTTTGGAAACTATTATCATGTTTTGACTAAGGATGACTAATAATCTGAAAAGAGTGAGTTGTTATCGTGTTTATAGGCTTAAAATTAGCAAACAGTGCAGTGAGATGGCTCAGAAAGCCCATAAATATTAAGCTGCCTTCATAGATGTAGAGTCCAGAACTAAGGATTTCACATCTGTGTTTCAGACGGTACACAAGAAAGTGGCGAGGATGTGGAATCTAGGACATAGTGGTCGGGGAAGAGAAGGGTGGGACCCCGTGTGGGTGAGGAAAGGCTACAAGAATAGCCAAAAAAGAATTCAGGAAGAAGGAGCACAGTGTTTGCTTTCAAATACAGTACCTAAAGGGAAGAGGTTAGATTCACTGTGTGTGGCTCCAGCAACTGACCAGTAGGCCAATGGGTGGAAGAAAATGTCGATTCAGTACAAGTCAGAACTTTCTGAGAATGAACCGCCTAGAATGCACTGGCCGGCGAGGAAGAGACATTCCCATCCGATTAGTCCCAGGAAAGGTGGGCTGGCCCATTTCCAGGGAGAGTTACTCATTGGCAATTCATGTACCTGATAGAGAGTTAACTCTAAAGTTGGTCATCGGCCCAGTCAACCATTTCACTGGGCACATTATTTACATTATACTGTTCCAGGCTGAAGAAAATCACTTGCCAAAAAGCCATCCCTTGTTTACACCACAAGTGGAGAGCTGACCCCTGTCTTCCCAAGCTTCAATTCTTACCGATTCAAGATTCACAAAGTGGCTAGGTGATTTGAACACTCATATTATTTAAATCATTACCAAAGAGATTATAGGGTGTGTGTGTGTTGTTGTGTGTTTTTTTTTTTATGAAGGAAAAGTGGTTTGGATCGACACATGAACACACTAAGAAATAGAAGTTACTTTTATCATTGACATGTTTTTTTTAAAAAAATTGTTCTCTAAAAGCCAACCACATCTCCATAATTGTGCAATTTACCAGCGGAATGACAGGGAAGCTTTAACTTTGGGTTAACAGATTTCAAAAAATAAAACCCACGCCTTTTTCTCAGCTCCGTATCTTTACATTAACAATGCTCACCAGCGGATAGCCAGAAAGGCTCGCCAAGTTGGACCAACTTCAAGATGTGTCTATGTGGGGGTGCTTCATGCCCTTGGCAGAAGCAGGCCGCACCAGGCCCCATTTATTACTTTATGCTATAAACATCATGTCCTCGGCCAACGAGAAACCCAGCGTGACAATCCCATAGGCTACCAAGCACCATAAACATCCGTTAACACAGGCGCCACAGACAGCACAGGGAGGCGTCGTGCATCCATTTTTAAGTGGTTTATGATGTGCAGTCTGCTGTTTAAAAACTAATAATCAAAAACACAGTCCCAAACTCTGCCTAGAACAAATATTTACAAGGCAAAGTTGTGCTCGGTTTGGAAAAAAACTAATGTGCTTACGCCGCACTTTGTCATTGCATTTATAGACTTGCATTTCACACCTTGGCCCATTAAGAGCTGTCTCTCCGGGGCATGCAGGAGACCCAAACTGCAATTTCACTTTGAGATCTTTACTCCACAAGGAAAGCTGACTGTTGACTCACCAACGTTCCTTAGACCCACGTGAAGCAGAAAGTGTACAGGGGCGGGGAGGAGGTGAGGCCTGGGACACGCTTCCGCTACAAATGATGCCCGCCAGGTCCGCCCGGAGGGAAACCACACAGAACTGGCGACCCCTTGAAATCCAATCTGGGACAACTGGGCTTTGCTTTTCTCAAAAGGAAACAGAATCCCCAATCACAGAAAAGGTGGGACCAACAACCCTGTCTGCCAAAGCATTTTATTTTGTTTCTAGCCAGCATTTTAATTTCTGGAAATGTTTCCATACTAGTTACCTCCAAGATCTATCCGTTAGTACCCCAGGGAGAAGGCCTTCGAGGGTGACCCAGGTGGAAACTAGCCTAGAACACCAGCTGGTCAGGGCACAGAGCTACCACAGCTGCCAGGAAAGGTGAGTGCCTTCCCGGGCACACATGCCAGGGAGCCTGACAGTAAACACCCCGGGGAACCGGGGAACATCTAGTCTTCACTATGGGCAGCAGCACCCCGGGACTTTCAGATCCGCAGCTCTGACTAGGGTTCAGGTCTCTAGGGTTCTGTCCCCACCCCCCCCCCCCCCCCACACATTTCCTAAAATCCTCTCCCGCCCTCGCAGGGCTCCTGAGAGTTCCAGAAGCCACCTCTAGCCCTCTGCACCTGAAAGGCAATGGGTCTGGAACTGTCAAGTCCGTGGCACTTAAATCCTATGCGGAACTCCGGCAACGTCCCAGCCCTCAGGCCGCCTGTTACCTTTCCTGCCCCTTCAAAGGTCTCCAGGCGGCACCCACAGGCAGGCGGCACCTCTCTGGCCTCCTCCCCCCTGCACACCTTACTGGCTCCCGCGCCGACACGCCTCCCAGGCGCACACACGCGCACACGTACACCCTTTGGGTACACAATCCCCGCACCCCGGCGCCCGGGCCCGGCCAACAAGCGTCCCCCTCCGGGTCATAAAGCGCTCGCCCCCAAATACACTTCCCCACGCACCCTCAAGTGGGTGACACTGCCAGGCGCCCTCTAGGCGCTACCAGCGCCCCAGGCATGCGGCTGCCCCGGGCACCGTAACCCTCACGACTGTAAACATCTGTCCAAACTCCGAGGAATGCATAGATCCCTAACTACAAGTAGATCCGATGGCGGGGAAACTTCGGTTCGCTATTATTTTCACACAAACCGTCTCAGGAACGAGGGATCTTGCGTCTTGCCATACCCCAGCTCCGCGGGGCAATTGAAGGGGTTAAACCTTCCACCTGCTGCTGTCG